AATAATTCGCAAATACAAAAACATACAGTGGCGGCAATATGTTTAGAAACACTAGAAAATTTTTTTAATTCCTAATTTTTCATTCAAAAAATACGTTCTATATAGCAATCGAAGGCTCTATCTGTATCTCAGTTGACATGTTTCTGCATTTTTCGTGAAAAAGAAAATTGGCCGAGATTTCGCCAGTTTCAGAATTCCCCCTACTTCAATATTTCTCCAGCTTACTATGGTTTTTCAAATTTCAGGGATCTATATCTCGGTCCGAAAATTTAATTTTTCCTCTTGCTAATTTTGGTGGCATTCAACTCAGCTCGACTATCTCTTTCAAATAGTTTGTATATTAAAGGCGCCAAAAATTCGGCACAGAAAAATTTTCCCCCCTTGGCCCCCCCCCCCTCCCGAAAAAAATCCTGGCTACGGGCCTGCCCCACAAACAATTACAACCACAACACTGCATCACTTCACTAACAAGTTTCTTAGTGAAAATAATTTTTAATTTAGACTATTTTTTTTAAATTTTTATTTTTGTTATAATTAAATTAATTTAAAAATTGATTTTTGAATTTATTAAATTTTATATTTAGTTATATTACTTCCCTTAAAATTTTTCTTAAAAGGGCATTTGACTATTTAAAAGCTTTTTCTTCGAAAAATTGATTTTTTAGATAATATTCTTAATTAAAAATTTATTTACTGATTAAATAAATTTAAATTTCAAAGATCTGTTTCGAAATTTCGATTTAGGTTTTCTCTCTTTAATTTAAATACATATGTATATTTTAAAAATTGATTTATAAAAATAATTTATATAAAAACAAAAGAATGTCTTGATTTATGGACATAAGCTTAAACCAATACAAACATTAGTCAGGATTCTATAACCCCCAATATGATGATTTAAATCTTCCAAAATTAGAGATACGGGATCGAGATCGGGGTTGTTATAGAGCTCGAACTTTTGCCCGGTATCCGGTTTTTTCTTTAAAATTGACCCGGGCCGGGTTTTCTGGGCTAAAACCTCGAAAACACGGAAAACTCGACACACCCCCCAATATGATGATTTTAATACTCCAAAAATTAGAATAATGTTCGACTCAGTTCATCTCTACTATCAGTAGAAACTAGGGTTGAGCGGGATTGGGATCCCAGTCGGATCGGGCAGGATTATCCCGGTTTTTTGAATCTTGATACCGATTTTTCTGGTCCCGAGCCCGAAATATATATCCCGATCCCGATTTCGGCCAACCGGGATTAGCAATCGGATCCCGATGCAAACCCCGATTTTATAAATATGCGAGAATATTAGTGGAACGATATATTTGAGTGAAAGAAAGGTGGTAGAAGAAAAGAAAGAGAGCGCCGACTATTCCCGATCCCGTAGTCGGGACCGGGATCGGGCTGTTATTCCAAAAGCCCGATCCCGATTTTAGGTCGGGATCCCGATCCCGCTCAACTCTACCTTCGATATCAACCAAAATCCCTTAACAGTCCATATAAGTTTTAATCATAGAATTTTCTCACCTCTTACGCCAAAATAGCAGGGTCGGGTTTCAGGTCGGGTTTTGTAGAAAAAAAATTCTCGGGTTGGGTATCGAGTCGAAATAAGGCGGGATTCGGTAAGCCCGACCAATCCCTATTGCGCGCGTTATTTAAAAATGCCATTCACATATCCAAACTCCACCCATTTTATCCTCCATAAAAACGAGGGGATTTCTTCATTTCCCCTTAAATTTGTTTCCATTACTATCTTTAAAAAGCTTCCCCTCAGTAAAAAAAAAGTTTTCTCAAGTTTTATTCAAAAAATTTTAAACAAAATCCTTTAAAAAATGTATTTTAATACATTTTCCAAGACATTTATTGTCTTGGTTTTTGCCGGATTTGCTCCTCTTTTTGTCAAAGGAATGCACAATCCTCATGGTAACATTAAAATTAAATAATCGCATAGTGTCTTGTCCAATCACGGTGATTTTGGTGTCATTCGACTCAGCTCGTCGAGCTCTTTCGAATGACAAATAAATCATTCATATCTGGATCAGAACCATAAACCGAACTTAGGCCTAATTTTTAAAAATTCAGCAAATATGCAAACTGGTGGAGGCCAAAGGAATATAAATCTGAAGGAGTTTTCTCTTTCTGAGTTTTCTTTTCTGATGAATATTTTAGATGAAATAAAAGAAGTTGATTACAAAAATTATGATTCTTTTAAAAATATTCTCAATGAGAAAGGTGCTGAAGTATTAAGCGAAAATACTGAAATTGCACCAAATGGTCCTTTCGTTGGAAATTTTATACGAAAGATAAGAGCGGTAAGGAAGGGAGGATGATATTGATAAGATGGAAGGCAGTGTAGTGTGCCATAAAATACCAAATACCCAGTCTTGATTTAAAGGCTGTTTCTATTAGAGTTCGGACTCGGCCAAGGGCTGGGGCTTTCGGACACGAAACCGTGTATTTTGATAAGATCCGGTTTATCCAATTTGCATGTTTTCAAGATTTTAGCCCAGAAAACCAGCCAAATTCCAATTTTGAGTAAATTTTATAATATTCTGACTTGCTTCTTAAGCGACTTATTTAAGCTTTATCTCAGCGAGGTCTGTAGCAGGGGTATAAATAATTAATCCATTCATTAGCTTCCATTGAGTTCCATCTTTTTAAGCTCTTCCGCAAAAAATCTCCTCCGTTGATAAGCAAAATTTGCCATTTTTCAGTTGGTTCCAGGGAGTTAATGGGATTGTTAGTTTCTTGCCTGTACCCCCTTCCCCCTCGTCCCAATAGATAACACTCCTACTTTACAGGTAATAGAATATTCTGAAGGAATTCTTAACAATTATGAAAAACAAATAAAAGAAGAATATAAAAAGTTAAATATAATAGATAAGTTTAATTTTATTAGCAAAAGAATTAAAGAGTATAAACAAATTGTTGATGAAGAGGAATATGTTCAATTTATTGAGAATCACGGTTTAGATATGAAGGAATTTGGTGATGAACGAGATTTGAACAAGATCCCTGTTTCATTATTAAAAATTGGGTAAGTTTATATATTAAATTGGCTCACTTATGGGCAGCTAATATTTAGTTATGGATAAAAGTAAGGGTGGGCAAATGGGGGGGGGGGTGTACGGGCTAGGGCCCTTAAAGTTCCTTTGTTCTTCTTTTCCTTAGTTCCTTCATACCTCAACCTTCATTTCGTGTGATAAAGTATCTGTTTGTGATCGTCTACGCAAGCGGGGTCATAACACTTATATACACGGATTTGGGAATTAAATAGCTATATGCTTTACAATATCTTATCTTGAGCATCATTTATAATTTTCATAAAATTTTTTTAGCAATGGACGAGTATTTAAACAACTTGGGGAATATTTAACTAAAATTAAATATCAGGAGAGAAATTTATTTATTTTATACAATTTGTTTATTTTGGCACGAAAATTGATTTTGTCAGTTATTTATAATAATTATTCAGATGGGAGAATTTTCGCTTTAATGGATGAGTTGTAAGTTTGTTACAGTACATATCTTAAGGCCGTGATTAAAACATGTGAACATTGAACATAGCTCTCTTTCATAGGCTTATCATCTTTACTACCTTATCCTTTGGAAAAGCTGTTGTGAAGTGATCTGGTCGATCACTTCATTCGGCTGAGAGTTGCCAGCCGGCCAAATAACGAAGAGCCCTCCATATAGAGCTCTCCATTCATTCAGCCATTGCGTACGATTTTCCTATTTCCTATACTCTGCGAAGTTCACTCATGATTAGTGTTCGGCACGATTCGGTACTACCGCACCGGTATCGATACCGAAAAAATCCATTTGTCGCACATACTCATGATTACAACATGCGTGACTGCTAATAACATCGATTCCACAATACATTATTTTTTTAATAATATCCAGACTGATTCAAGTATTTTAATTAAATTTTAGACATCGAGTATCAATTGTTATTTATATTTGTGTATTGGATAAATATGAAATGAATGCAAACCGTCTATATAATATGATGATGGATCAGTTTTCAGCTTTCAATTGGTTACCTAGCAATACTCTGGTCAAAAATCTTAAAGATGCCGAGGAAGATTTTGGACTCAGTTATCCTGTTTTATGCATTTTCAAACAAAATCATGAGGAATTCCAATCTATTATTTACCAATTTAAAAGTAAATAAATTAATTAATCAAGTCCCAACAAGTGTCCTTCCAGTTATAAACATTCAAGCCTGTTTAAAGTATTTTATGGCCGAGAGTTACTAAAATGGATGAATCGCCCGGTATTCTGTACCGTACTACCTATCCGGGATACCGAAATACTGTCAGTAGTACAGTAATATTGGTGCTCAAGCACCAATATTTAGTGAATGTAAGAGAAGTGGAAGGAGATCATGGACTTGTCAATCCTATCATAGTTGAGGGCTGCTAGTTGTTGCTAGGCGCTTTCGCTCACCATATGCAGGAGCTTTACCTCTGAGCTACCGGGGCATCGACTAATGCTTTCTCTTTTCCTTTTTAGATCGTTTAACCCCCGCCTAAGCGTTTTAAATGCTCCTGGGTGAATCATCCTTTCAATAGGATAGGATCTAAAAGCTTTAAATAATTAGTAAAAGTTGTTTAATTTCAATTTGTAATTTAAGCAACTGATTCATGGGAAATAACTAAGGAAGAATTTGAGGTATTAGAAGAGTCTCGTATTCATGGAGAGGGCATACCAAACAATACATACAATTCATACCAACTAATTTCATCTGCATATGAAAAAGACCAAGACGATCTTGTAAAAAAAGTTCAACAACATTATATAAATCCACAACTGGTTGCCCAAATAACTCATCAATTAAACAATAATGCTTTGGTTTATAGCCCCCAATTAACACAGGAGATTGGAGTAAATGAACACCCACAACAAGTTCGAGAGGTCGTTTTTATAGTAAATCAAGTATTCGGTCATGGTGCTTTTGAATACACTTTAATAGTCGTTATATAAGAGCGAGGTAAAAGTTTAATCCCGGGCAGGCCTCGATCCTGCGACTCCTGGCAGTTATTGCTAGGCGCTTACGCTCACCACGTACAGGTGCTCTACTAACTGAGCTACCGGGACGCTGCTTTCACCTTCTATTTTAATAGATTAAACCCTCGCCTAGTGAGCGTTTTAAATGCTAGCCTGCTGGATCTTTCTCTTCCTTACAATACTCAATTTTTGAACGGTAAAGTATTTGAGGGGTATTTTAAAAATTTCCCTATCATTATCAAGAAATATACCAAAAATTCTTAAACTACATATATACATATTTTCATTAGGTTTATATCCCGTACACACCAAGTGAAACGACTGGAAACGGAGATGGAGGGAATGGAAATGATCTGTCGAATGATTTGTCGAACTTGTCGATAAATGAGGATGAAAATTGTTGAAAGAATTGAAGAGAAAAGATTGGTTTTGGAAGATTATTGTCACGGAAATTGTCTTTATCGAACTCTGTCTCTTTCCTAAATCCTCTATAGAGTACCACAATTTAGCTGATAAATAGGGACTCGCAAAATATGCACGGAAAATAGCCAAACATGCGCATATATATGCATGAAGTATGCACCAGGGTTGCCGCGGGTACAAAAAAATCTTCGGGTACGGGTTTTGGGCATCGGGTTGGAGCGTTTTCATTTCGGGTCACGGATTTCGGGTTGAAAAAAATATCGGGTACGTGTTTCGAGTTGGCAAATTTTCATTTTGGGTCACGTGTTTCGGGTACACAAAAAGGCCGGGTTTCGGGTTTCGAGCGGCAACCCTGGTATACACTAGTTATGCAAAGAAAATTTTCCGGGTTTTATCGAAAGTTTAATACCTAAGAAAATATCATTAGCTTGTTGCTCAGAATTAATTACAAATACTAAATTACAATAATTTATAAGTGATTCTTGGCAAAATTTTTTGGAAAATAAATTTGAAAAATTTATTTTTTTGACAGTAAATACTTTCAAAGACCAAAATTCCTAAAAATGCCAAAAATTTGCAAAATTTTAACCTTTTTAATAGAACTTATCAGTAGGGCTCGGATTTATATTTAAATAAATCACTGAAGCGGCCCTGCCCGCGAACTGACCACTGCCTCTCCATTTTTTTATTACATCTATCACCGGTCATTTCTGTCTTTCTTCTATTAGAACTCAATAGTCAGACACCGGTCAGTCAAGGCTGTTCATGACCAAGGTCGTTTTTGTGCCTTATTTAAATATAAATCCGAGCCCTAATTATCAGAATAGGATGAAATATTTATTAAAAAAATGTGAAAATTTTCCCAACGCATACAACACATGCATTTGCATGTTTTGTGAGTCCGTACTGGTAACACTAATAGAAACTTGAAATTCAGAGAAAAATATTATAATAGAGGATTTATGGTATATTTACTTTTTTCATTTTCGGGAAAGATATAAAGTAAAAACATTTTTCATTTTTTATTAACCAGTAAAATTTTTAAGAGCAGAAATTGACAATTCGATTAGTTTAGTAGTTCTTTAATTAAAGCGTCCGGTTCCGGTCAAAATATTGGTTCTAGTGAAATACTAATGCATTTCCATTCAATCCAAAACGAAATGCAAAAGATTGGTGTAACTATTCATTATAGGGTAGTTAGTGGCCAAGTAATTTTTGAAGGACCTCTGACTGCGTGAACTATCCGCAAGTAAATTTTCAAGAGATTATCTAAGCAGACACGTTCCTTAGGAGCAATAATCCAAAGTAAAAAATGAATGAAAAGTGAGGTTAATGTACTAACCCTTATAGAAAAACAAAATTTGTTAATCAAACAATTTATTTACCAAAAAATTGTCCAGAAACAGAAAAGGAAATTCAAATCATTTTTGTTTCGATTATACAAACAAAAAATAAATTATATGTATTTTACAATTTTTATAGGGGGAGACAATTTATTTTATTTCTTTAAATTCTTAAAATCAACGCTTTTTGGGATGGACCTTAACATTTGTTGCTGTAGCAAACTTAGATTGATAGAGACCAACACCAGGAGTTGCTTTAGAAGAAAATATATATTTTTATTTAATGGAAACACGTTTTCTTAATTATTTAGACTAATCTTCAAATTATCAGTCGAACCTCACCTAGCTGTATATTTTGGGGATAAATAGTAAACTCTAATGCAGTAAGGTTCATTTTGGGGTATTTCCTCTCCACAACGGGTAGTCAAATTGAAATGTGTAGCAGAGGTGGGTCGGAATTCCGATTTCCGGCGTTATTTTACTTCCGATTTCCGAAAAAAAAATTTATTTCCGAATTCCGACTTTTGAGCCAGTTCCGATTTCCGTCTCTTCGATTTTCGACACCTCTGACTGTTACGACCCACCTTTGATGTGTAGTGTCAAGTGCACGAATCTCTAAGTGAGGTCCGTTTTAGAATCACTAATTAATAGCCCACTAGCCTCTTACATTTCTTTACAAAAATTAGTAAAAAACATGTCCACCTGAAAGACACCCTCATCCGCTTTCAAGTATAAAAAAAGCTTACGATCAGACATTGGCGAATTCCAAAGTGCAGACGAAGCACGCCGTGGAGGATAATCTTTACAATATCCCCCAAACAAATCTTGTGTTGTAGGCTGACGAATTTTCCCAAAATGATGTTCAATTTGATCTTTAGTTATTAAATGATGGATTTTTTGAGTTCGTTCCAAAATATTTTCTTCTAAAAAATTTCTTTAATTAAAGAAAAAAATATTAAAAAATACTTAATGCCCATTTTGGAACAATTTTTCTTGGTTGTTCATCATTATCAGTTTCATCGCCAGACGACAAATCATCCACAATATAATTAGTTTCAGTACTTGGCAAAAATATTTTTTCTTTTGTCATATCATAAACACTAAAATTGGAAAAAATAAAAATATAGAAGCGAAAATTTTAGGGAAAGAATTTATAATTTATATTCGACAAAGTCGGCAGTTAAACTTTTTTTGGATTAACTGAAGATTCGAACTAAAATTATCTGGTTATCCAAAACCAAAATTTTGTTTTTTATAAATTGAGTCCTTAATTCAATATTGTATTGACCATTGATATTTTTATAGAGAAAAAAATGTGGGAAAAAACAGAAAGGGGCAGGGGGAGGAACGAAAAGGACCTTAAAAAATTTTTATATCAATTTCATTTCCTAATTTTTTTTTCTCCCTTGCAAAAAAGTTACATAATAGGCAGCCCTTCGCCCTCCCTAGATTCCATTATTTCCTAATGCCATTCAATTCGTTAATATCGTATAATGTAAGATGTTTTTGGGCCGAGTTATATCGAAAACAAAAAATACGGCAAAATTACTGAACCTTATAAATTAAGAAATCTTATTTTAAACCTAATTTGCTCCAATTCATTCATACTATCCTCATTAACACATTCCTCCTGGAAATTAGAACCCAAATTTTCATCCTCAACAATTTTAGCATTTTCTTTCTCTTCTAAATAAGATTCCTGAACAATAAGAACAGATGTCGTGGTAGTTTTAATTTGTAATGGGCATTCTTCTTCCGATATTAAATGAGGAATTGATGTTTGAGTGGATTTGCTGAGAATTTAAAAAAATATTGTTTAAAAATTATTCCAAAATTATAAACTCCCAAAAAAATATTTTAAGAAGAGTACGCTGTGTCTAAATAGATCTTCAACTAGGAGTAATTTGTGGGATTTGGATAAATATTCTAGAGAATATTTGAACGTTTCGTCTAAAAATATTTTTATTTTTGTTGATTCGCATAATAATTTTGCTAAAGGGCAGAACTGAAAAGGCAGAATTATAAATAAGCGAAACGCCGAAACAAATACGTCGGAAACCTCTAGTCAAAGGATTGATTACCTAACACTAAAGTCATACCCCTTGAAATTAAAACCCTGGCTAACACTTGCTAGAAACTCGAGCTCAATCCAGGTTGAAGCCTTCCCTCTTCACACCCCTTTCCTTCCAAACACATATAACCTTCAAAACTTGCTATTAAACGGATTTCCACAAATTAAAAACTCACTTATCCACACAATTTTGTTCTTGATGAGCTTCTTTCGATTTAACCTTACTTGCAGGAATATTCTTCATAATTGGTGTTTTAGTTGTTGATTTAATCTGAACACTCAAAGGTTGAAGGACTCGAACTGGCATATTCGGACTGGCAAAATTGTTTTGTAATTCTCTATTTTGAAATTCTTTGACAGCCTCCAAATGTTTCCGTACATTGTTTTCACGTTCAAGTCTGGCCTCTTCCTTCTTTTTGTTATTTTGTTCAACCCGTTTAGCACGCTCTTCTCGTTCTCTAAAAATTTAAAAGTAAATTTTTTTGCCCACGACCTTCAAAAACTTATTTTTAATCAATTTAAACTTAATTGAGTCTAGAGCCCTTTTAAATAAAGACAGATTACTCCGAAAGCTTAATTATAAATGTAAATTTCCGTTAATAATCAGTTTTACAGAGGCTGTTAAATTCTTATGGATTTTTGCTTGTTTGTTAAAATTCCCCTTGTTTGTTACCAAGGGCGTATCCAGGGGGGGGGCTGGGGGGGGGCTAAAGCCCCCCCCCCCCCCCGAAATGGGGGAAAGGGGGAAAAAATTAGGAGAAGGATGGTCGAAAAAGTGAAATTTTTTCGCCTACAACCTTCAAATTTTAAAAAATTTTCGCCTGCGGCGCAAAAAGTGGAAGAAATCTGGCCTCTTGAGCTCCAAAATCCTCAAAATTTTTGCCTGCGGCGCAAAAAAAGTGAATTTTTTTGGCCTACGGCCTTCCAAAATTCAAAAAATTTTTGCCTGCGGCGCTGAAGTAATGAAAATTTATGTACAAAAAATTTGCGTCCGGAACGCCAAGGTAAACGCCAAAAATTTTTGCGCCCACACAGTGTTAGCCCCCCCCCCCCCCGAAACCGACCCCCTGGATACGCCCTTGTTTGTTACATACAGGAAAAAGGGAAATTTTGGTGAGTTGGAAAATAAACAAAAAATTTCTCAAAATAAGTCTTAAAAATAAATAAACAAAAAACCTCTTTGCCCGATCCGCCTTCTCTCTTAACAAATCTTCACGAGCTCTCTTCGCCTGATCAGCTTTTTCGTCCATTTGTTTCAATTTGTGTACTTTCTGCAACGTCTTATTGAGAGCTACAGGCGTTTTAACTGGAATCTTTGTTGGAAACTTGGATTGGATCTTTTTTGGTGTAGCAACAGCATTCTGAAATTTTTTATCAATTTAAAATAAAATTTTTAAAAAATTCCTCACTGGAGTAAGACGAAGAATTGGAGGCATTTGAATTGCTTGTTGGGCACTTTTCACGAGTTCATTTGTAATTGCCAACTTCCTCATTGAGCCAACAATTTCTTTTGGAGTTCCCAACATCTTCAACTTTTTTGGCTATAAATTTATAAAAATTTCAATTAAACGCTTCTCACTTTTGGACTGCATGGAGTAGCTGGAGTTGACGAAACACCGCCTGATTGAGCATTGATAGGTGCGCGAGACGCAAAAGGAGTCTCTGGCACAAATAAGATGCTTCTATCTTCTTGCTCAACAAAAGGTTCCGGCTCGTTTGGAGGCTCTTCTTCGATTTGTGCCTGTGGCTCTTCCATCTTTTCTTCTTCTAAAACTTCTTTTTCTTGCTCAACAGAGGGCTCCGGCTCATTAAGAGGCTCTTCCTCAATCTGTTCCTGTGGAGGCTCCTCTTCCATCTCTTCTTCAAAAGAATGTTCATCCTCAAAAATATGTCCTTCGACAGTCGGATCAGTTGGAGGCTCTTTCTCCTTCTGTTCTTCTTCATTTTCTTTTAACTGCTCAGGCTGATCTAAAAGAGTTGTATCCTCCAAATATTCATCATCCGAATCAAAATTCAATTGTCTGAATTTGCTAATTTGTTCAAGTAAAGCAGTGGCTGGCTTGGCCCTTTTAGGTGTTTGCAAAGCCTTAAAATAAATGGTAAATTTGATTTTATACACCCCCATCCCTCCCTCAAAATACTAACAATGGTCTGACAATAGGAAGCAGAATTCCTTCTGTTCTTCTTTGAACACCAAGACCGGAAACAACCAAACGCATTAGTGTTGCGTCGGAACCGCAAATTTGGCCGAAACCGAAACCAAAAAATCCCGGAGCTTCCGGCCTACCAGAAACAGAACTTCCTGAGCAACACTGGATGTATACCCATAGAGGAAGGTTTGGAAACATTTTAATTCAAGTCATTATTGATAAGTACTTTGAGGGGGGCACGAAATTCAATTGTACCAAATAAAATACTTATAAAATTATAAAGAAAAAACCTTTTGATTAGCATGATTTTCCCGAATAAAAGTCTTCAACTCAGTCTTAATCTTTTGAAATTCATCCACTTTTTGCTCCAGAATCTTTCCAACTTTGTCATAAAAAATTCTTCCCAACATTTTTTCATAATTCGACCAATTGATGAAGCTGGCAACAAGTTTTAGATCCTCAATCTTTTTTGTATCAACATCATCCTCAATTATTTCAATTGTTTTTGAACGTTTTTTGCTAGCCGATCGAGTTTCATATTGCTTGCTAGTTGTCTTTAATTTCTTACTTTTTCTTATTGCTGGCATTTTTCTACAATTGCTTGACAAAAATCTTTAAATTTACTAAAAGTTAAATGAATTAATCAAACAAAAAGGAAGTAATCAAGCAAAAATATGGAAAGTTTGAACACTGAAAATCAGAAAAAGAGATCGACACGGTAGGGATTAGAGATCGGTATTTTCAAAAATCCTGGATCTGGATTTAGGTTAGTAATCTAGACAGGATTCTGGATCCAGGAAAAATCCAGACGATTAAAATAAGCCTGGACCTTGACTACGAATCCAGGAAAAATCCAGACTGGATCCAGATCCAGACCGATCTCTAGTAGGGATCCCGCCGGGATTTTATGGGATCCCGCCCCGGAATCACAGATTTTTTGGCAACGAACGGGATTACCGGGACCCCGGGATTGACGGGATTAATCCCGCGGGATTCCTCCCGTTCGACCTTTTGAAACTCAATTTCGTTACGGATCCCGGAAATGTGATTCTGCCTATCTGCACCCAAAAACCAAAACGAGTTCTCTGAAATACTGGTTTACTCTCTTGTATCTTTCCCATTTTGTACATGTGCTTTAATTTTTTTTTCAAGTTTGGTCGTTTTTGTTGTTGCTTTTCTGTGTTTTTGATATTTTGTATTTTTTACCGTTTCGTAACTTTGGTAAATTTGGTCTTTCGTATTTTAGCTAATTTAAATTTTATTTCTCTACACAAAAGTTTAATACTCTCTAAAAGACTCATTGCTGTCTAACCTTCTTTTCTCTCCCAATCCATCGATTTTCTTTTAACATTTTTTCAATTTCCAATACCGCGTCATCCTCGTCTTTCGCCAAATACTGCTGCCAGCTGGTAAAAGCGTGGATAAAATATATTTGGTCAATTCTGCGCTTTCCCTTTTTCAGAGTTATTTTTCTAAGATTTTGAAAGACGAGAATCGTGTCCTACTTTCTAGTGAATTTTTATCTTTCTAGTTGAAAATTTATTTTTACTCTGACATTGTTAGTCATCGTTAAAATCACAATTTACCTAACTTGATTGAACAAAATTAACCTGTTTCCCTAGACTAGGATTAGGGTTACCGTTTTCGAGTCGTGCCGACGGTCTAATCATGTTTTCGGGCTTCATTATTATCGAGTCGGGCCGTACGAGTCTTCGGTCCCTATGGGTCTCTTTTCAATTTGGCAACCCTAGCTAGGATACACCCCCCCCCCCCTCCCCAATTTCTTCTTTTCGATACGAAACCTATGTACTCGGAGGAATTTTGGTCGATCCGATACCTAACCAGACAACAATTGACTATTCGGAATAACTTCTTGTGTATTCCAATTTTATTAATTTTTCATCTTTATATAATAATATAATTTTACAGTGTTTTTGGCTTCTCATTAAATTTTCTACTTTTATTTAACTTTGACTTTCAAAAATGGATCCTCCTGGAACTCAACCAACGCCTACCAATGGAGCTCAACAAGCTGGAGGTCGACCTACCAATAAGCGTTTACAACAGACTCAGGCGCAAGTTGACGAAGTTGTTGGTATTATGAAGGTTTTTTTGGAAAGTTTTTTGATCCGATTTAATTTGTTTTGTAGGTTAATGTTGAGAAGGTTCTTGAGCGTGACCAAAAGCTTTCACAGCTGGATGATAGAGCTGATGCTCTTCAGGTTTCTTTTGATTGTCTTTATTTTTAAATATTTTCTTTAGGAAGGTGCTTCGCAATTTGAGAAGTCTGCCGCAACTTTGAAGCGCAAGTATTGGTGGAAGAACATTAAGGTATTTTGATTTGACGATTTATTTCAATAGGTTCATTGTTCCCCTTTGTTTTTTTCCTTTCTTTTTCCAGTAGTTTACCCGAGGGAATGATAAAAAATGAAAAGTTAGGAAAAGAAAAATTGACGTTATTCGATAACCAATTAGTGGGGAAACAAAAATTCCTTGCTTGTTGATTTGGGCAGATAATTGCTATTGAGTGTTGAGGGACAAAAGTAAGGGGAATGGAACAAAAAAGGATTCAATCTTCGTTAGCGGCAATTTCTTGTTTCCTCGTTTTCCTAGAACCATGAATTTCCTATTTAAATAAAATAACTTTAAAAACTTCTTTATAATTTTCCCTATCAAACTTTTAGATGATCGCAATCATGTGTGCCATTGTGATGTAAGCTTTTTTTTTAGATGTTTTTCAATAATATTTCACATTTTTAAGTCTTCTTATCATCATTATCGTCATTTGGGCTAAATAAGCTTTTCAAAATGAAATGATGCTTAAAACGGTTTCTGTGAAGGAGTGTTCCCCCAAAGATGATTTGACACTTTTTATTTAAAGTAACCCCTCTATACGAAATTTTTTTCTTTTCTAAAAATTGTTCCGTTTTTTTTAACATTAAAAAGGTTTTAGATTTTTTTTATTTTCTTATAGAGGGGTTCTTTTAAATATTTTCTTTTAAAAATAATTCCCATTTTGACTAAAAAAAAGAGCAAAAAACTTAAATGACATATTCTATATTTTCTAATTTTTTTAAAAATAAAAATACACAAATTCCACTCCCCTTAACGCTAAAAAATATATAAATTGAGAAAAATATTATTTTTTGTGTGTATTTCGATAAATACTTTGATATTGATGTTTTTTGATTTTTTTGTAAGAAACGTTTATTTTACGTTAAATACATTAAAGAAAAAAGTTTATGTCTGGATTAGAGATCGGTATTTTCAAAAATCCCGGATTTAAAATTAGGTTAGTAACATGGACAGGATCTATGATCTGGATCCAGGACGATCAAAAAATGTCTGGATCCATACTCTGGATCTAGGAAAATTCCAGACCGATCTCTAGTTTGGATTGGTTTTGTGTTTCTTAATTTTAAAATTTCTGTTAAGAGTTTTGACTTCTCTTGTTGCCTTCTCTTTTGCTTCTTTAGTTTCTTTTATAAATTTTATTGGAATTTAATTCTTTTAATTATATGATTGATCATACAACAAGCTTTCGAGCATTGGCGAAATTTTCTGGTAGTAATGTTAATGGGGCTTCGACGACTTTAAAAGGTTAAATTAAGAATTTTATTTCAAAAGCGAGTCAAGAACGTGTGGGATTGGTTGACTTTTTGTATTTTTCTTGTAAAATTCACTCCCGCATGTGTGGTCTAGAAATTCGATGGGGGTCCATTTTATGGGTACACCCCAACGTACCGCAGAGCTAAAACTTTTTTCAAAACGGTCGAATCCGGGACGCCCTGACATTGTTCGATTTAGCTCGTCGAGATGCATCGAACCATGACAAGGCGTCCTGGATTCGACTATTTTGAACGAAGTTATAGCTCAACGGTACGTTGGCCTGCTCCCCCAGTTTAAAAACTCCCCCAGTTTTTTCATAATCTATCGCAAATTATTTATAAATTTAAATCCTTTACGGCAAAAATTAGCTGAATTAACGACAAAAATAATTTATATTTTTTAGACAATCAACCAAAAAATTCAAAAAAGTCTTCCTCGTCTCCCAATTTCCATCTCTATAGTTGGCATGCAAATCAAATTTTGGCAGATATTACACAACTACGAGATTTGATTTTGGATAAAAGAAAGGAATATATTCTTTGCAGTAATGCTTTTTCGATTTATGGAACTCAAAGGTTTATGTCTGATGCTGACAGGAAAAAATTTGATAGAGAGACAGGTTTCCTTAAATTTATGAGGGGTTAAGTCTCTGATCATAATCTAGCCGGCTGACTATCCAGGATGTGCAGGGTCGATTCCTGTTCGGTGCCTAGTTTTTCTCTTAAATTGGAAATTTTTCTGAACAAAATACTCTATTAGGCTCTTTTCCAGATTACGCGTTCAATGAAAAAAGAGGGGGGGATTTTTCAAGTACATATTTCTTTCTTCTAGTAGGAATAGAGAGACACCCGCGCGATACCGGACCATAGGTCTAAAATGAAGAACCGGGTACTTAAAAATGCGACTGGTTGCATAAAATTTCATTGGAAGCGTGTTTTTTCATTGGACTCGTCGGTTGATTGGACGCGTAATCTGAACAAGAGTCCTCAATTCTTTTCTTTTTTTCAGATATTGCTATCAAAAATTGCACCAAATTAATTAAAGATTTAAATATTCGAATAAATTCTGACAAATCTTTACGTGCTGGAGATGAATGTAAACACTTGACAGCTGTTATTAATTTATTAAATGTTTATTTGAAAGAAGTTTTGGCGATTGTTGCGCAATTAAGGTTTTTTTAATTTTAATAGGCAAAAATGGTTAGTTTAATACGATGGCGAAACCAAGGATAATAGGATTTTTAAGAGGGTCATGAAAAATTTATAAATTTTGTTTGAATCGATGATTATTCTCATTTTGTTTTGACTTTTATCAGTTGTAGCTCTTGTCTGTTTTTTCTTGCATTGTTTTGTCCTATAATATATTTCCTCAATCTTAAAGCTTTTGTTTTTTGGCCCGTCTATTTTTCGCTATTTCTAATCAAGGACGTAGCCGGTCCTCCCTCGAAATGGTGAAAAATGAAAAATTTGAGGAGGGGATTGAGCAAAAACTGATTGTGAAATCGACCTCCTGTCTACGTCCTTGTCTCTGATAGAGCTCTCTCCTCTTGGGCCACATCTGGTTCATTGCTTGTGGGAACCAAATCTAATTAGGGCTTGTTGAGCCTCTTATGAGTTAAATTTTAAAAAAAATAAAAAACAAATTTGTGTTTAAACAAAATATTTTTCAGAGAAATTTATCTTCGGAAAGCCAGGCAAATTAGAAAAATATGCCGACTTGCAAATTTGGTAGAAATGTATGGGCCTAAAATAGAAGATGCACAAAAAGATGAAGAAGAAAAAGATGCCAATCTTGCAAAAATGCGTTTAGAATTGGAGAAAAACGAAAAATTTTATAAAAACAAAAAACGAAAAGAACAACAACATATCGAAAATAAAGAAAATTTGACAAAAAATATTTCAACAAAAATTGAAAAATCTTCATCTAAGGATGGTTGGGAGGATGTAGAATTGGAATTATTAGACAATGAAGTTAGTTTTTGAAATAAATTTTGAAAAAATGGAAAAATTTATAAATGGGCTTAATGTTAAGATCTACTCAATCACAAGCACTTACCCGGTACTTATTTAGTCCCACCCCCCGCCAGTTTTTTCGAAAAATATGTAAAAATGGTCAGTCTGAACAACAATTGTAGAACCCATTGAGCTGTGTCGAATGACACCAAAATCAACAAAATCGGACAAGATTTGACAAAGTTATGACATTATTTATACTTACCGGAGTCGACGACTTATGTCATAACTTTATCAAATCAAGTCGAATTCTCTTTGATTTTGGTCTCATTCGACTCAGCTCGACGAGCTCTTTCGAATGAGCTATCATTTGTATAGATTTTCGTCTTTAGATTTTGTGCCCCTGTGGTTTAGGGGTCTGTATTTCGGTCAAATCAAGTCGGATTTTGTTGATTTTGGTGTCATTCGACACAGCTCGATGGGTTCTACAATTGTTGTTCAGACTTACCATTTTTACAATTTTTCGAAAAAAATGACAGGGGGGGGGACTAAATAAGTACCGAAAATTTTTAGGTACTTATTTAGAGAGAAGGGAAGCTTTTTTGAAAATATTGGGCTTTATATTTTTGAAATTGAAGGCAATAAACCCACTTCCCCTGGCTACTTGCCTGCACTCAATTTTACTTTCAATTAGCTTTCTTTAAGATCCGTTTATGTATCTAAAATTTGGTTGGCCATTGAGTGGGGAGACTGTTTAGATAACCTCTATTTAAGTCAGATGATATTTTAAAATTCTATTAGGAATTCTAACTTAAATAAAACTATTTAATAAGCAAATTATTTAAGCCTAAAATTGAAAGAATTGATGGTTGGTCTGATGCTGATTTGGAGATGGATGATATTCCTGAACAAAAATTAGTAGTACATAAAAGCCCTAGTCCTCATGAGAAGGCTTCTGTAGATAAAGTTGAGTATAAAGATGAAGAACAAACAGCACCATATGAACCAACAAATAAAGGTTTTTTTTTAATTTGATAGGTCTTGAATTGATCCACTTGTGAGTATGGTTGTCGGTTCTTGTGAAATTTTCGGATATCCTGAACCAAATCGAAAACTCCTCAGTTCGGTTCTGAACAGACTTTTCTATTTGTGAATATTACCTTTAAGTTTGAATTCCTTTTCCCACAACTTTTATACTTTGTCAAATATTTTGCTAACAGGATCTGATTAGAGACCGGCGCGGAACGGGATCCGGGATTTTCTGGGATCTCGAAATCCCGGATTTTCTTTTGATTTTTCGGGATTTATCCCTCAGGATTCAGTCCCGACATCGGTTAAGAAAAAATCCCGACTCGGGATCCCGGAAGTGCGATTTTGCCGGTCTCGAGTTCTGATTTCATTTGGGCCCGACTTTATCTGATTTCATGGGGCCGACTTACTACGGCCGTATTTTTCGGTATTTATCGGTATTCCGTATCGGTAATACGGTACGGAATACGGAACGGCAAAATTTTGAATTTTATCGGTATTTTTCGATATCGGTATTAGTACGGAACGAAATTCCGGGCTCTATTTATAATTGTCAATTTTTATTTCTCCCTTTCCCTTTTACATTTAAGTCTTTGACATTTTGAATAATTCAAAAAGATTCTTTTTTAGATGAACAAGTGCAATTATTTGATGAAAATAAAAAAATGCTTGAGCGATTTACAGCAACTGATTCAGAATTGCATTTAATTGAGTCTAAAGTAGCCGAAATTCAACGACTTCAAAATGTGTTTTCAGAAAAGGTTTTTCCACCAAAAAATTATTTTTTTATTTTTTTTAAATAGATTTGTGAACAAGAGCAAAATATTGATTTAATCCATTCAAGGACTATTTACACTTTGGATAATTTACAACAGGCAAATGATTATATTCGAGAAGCTATTAAAAATCAAGCTAATCGGAGAGTTATAACGATATTTTGTTTGTTAGTTTTGACGTTTACTTTACTCTTTCTTGACTGGTATAATCCATAAATATTTATTTTATAATGTAAAAATTAGAGATCGGAACGGGTCCGGGACCCGCTTTTCGGGTCCCTTTTCCCGTTTTTCTAAAGCAACCGGGATGAAACCGGGAACGGGAATTCCGAGTCCCTCCCGGTCAAATTTCCGAACCCGGTTCCCGGACCATTTTTATACCGGGAAACCGGGAAAAACATTCAGTTATTAAATCCGAAAAATTCTCAAAATTTTCGTCTGAGGCGCTGGAAAAGGTATAAATCTGGCCTCTTAACCTTCAAAATTCGCAAAATTTTCGCCTGCGGCGCTGGAAAAGCGAGATTTGTGTATATCGGAGGATTGAATCAAGTTAGGTGGATTTTAATGATATCCGGATATTTCAAGGAATCTAAAAGAATAGCGAAATTTCTTACTTTTTCAGCGCTGCAAGCGAAAATTTTGAAAATTTCAAGGCCGTAAGCAAAAAAATTCACTTCTTAGCAATTAAAGGAAAATTTTTAAGAATTTCACACATAACCACTCGGCCACCCTCTCCCTCATAATCCCCAGATATCCCCTGGCATCACTCCAATCCCCAAATACACAATATCACTCGTACTCCCTCTACACCTATATCTTTTAATCGTCTAAAATCCTCTTATATTCCACGATATCCTGTCAAACTCTTCCATATTCACTTAATCCCGTAATATCCCTTCAAATCCTATAATATCCCTTTAAATACCAGCATATCCTACTTAATCCCACTTAATCAAGAATCAAAGCCTGGATCCAGGCAAAAATAATGACTCTATTACACAATATACGTCCAATTAACTATTATGCGTCCAATCAACTTTTATACGTCCAATCAAATTTTATACGTCCAATGAAAGTTTGTGCGTCCAATAAAAAGTTTATGCGTCCAATGAAAATTTGCGTTTAATAAAACATGCTAATGCATATAATAAACCCACTAATAAAACATGCCTTCTATTTTTTAATTTATTAACGCTAAAATTACGATACGTTACGTTCCGTCGAATTTTCGAAATTTATGGATTGAATGCAAATCTTCACAGAAAATTAAAAACCTTTAGTAGACGAGACTGACAAATTAATTAATGATTTTCTCGAATTAAATCCTAATTAAAAATGTTTTAGTTTAAAAATATTAAATTGTAAATGTCTAATTTATTAATTGAAAAATATTGAATATTATATTTTTATATAATAGATATATGTAATTATGAAAATCTTTGTTATTAAATAGAATTATTATTAGAAATAAAAATTTCTTAAATGAATGATTATTCATATAAATAAACTTAAAATATATTATGTATTACATTTTATATTTAATAGTGCATTAATATTAGAATTAAATGTATTATGCAATAAGGGTGGAGTAAAAAATTAAGGGCGTGATAAAACATTTTTTGGGAATTTTCTAGTCTATTAATTAACAGATTTTTCAACCCACTAATATAATATACCTTCTATTTATAAACGCTAAAATTACGATACGTTACGTTACGTCGAATTTTCGAAATTTATGAATTGATTGGACGTATAAATTGATTGGACGTATATGATTTGATTGGACGCAGGGTTGCCGCCCGAAACCCGGCCTTTTTTTGTACCCGAAACCCGATACCCGAATTGAAAATTTTCCAACCCGAAACCCGTACCCGATTTTTTTTCCAACCCGAAACCCGTGACCCGAAATTGGTTAAAACCCGAAATTTCTACCCGAAAATTTAACCTTACCCGATTTTTTAAAATAAATTTAAATAATTATAGAAAGGAAAAGGGAAAGATATATTCATAATTTCTTTCATATTCTCATTATGTGGATCGGTGGCTGAATGGGTAAAGCGACTGTCTTGATATTTTCATGGGTGTGGGTTCGAGTCCAGGGCTGGAAATGTGGCTTAAAAATTTTTCTCTTTTTAAAAATAAATGTTTTTAACCTTTGATTTTCATTTAGAACTTTAAATTTATTTTTTTAATATTTTAAGCTTAAAAAAGTATTAAAAATTTTAATTAAGTCATGAATTTTGCAAAATTTTCGCCTGCGGCGCATAAAATGAAGAGTTTTGGCTTCATGACCAATTAAACTTTAATAAAAATTTTTTGCCTGCGGTTTTGCCAATTAAATTTTTTCTCCCAAGACCAGGGTGACCATCTCCAAACCACCAAAATAGGGCGCAGCCACTCAAAAATGTGGCAAAAAATAGGGCAAAATTGGTCAAAAATAGGGCAAAAAATATGGCAATATTTTAAAAGCTTAAAATTAATTAAAATTTCAAACAAAAAGCTTTATTTTTAACATTTTTTCAGTAGTTTTAACTAAATTGAGCAAATCGGGATCAGAAATAAAGAGATCATATGCCAGAGTAAAATTAAAATCAGAATTAAGTTTAATGGTTACAGGGGAACAGGGGTTTTCAGGTCGAAAATAAGCCTCCAATGTTGACCAACTTCGAACTATTTCATTCACAAACGTCCAAATTACTGAATAAAATCCCGTACTTCAGCCTGTTCGTGCCAATCTATAATAATAAGCTAGTAACGTCCTCCCTTTCAGCGCCGCAGGCAAATTTTTTTTTAATTTTGTAAGGTCAAGAAGCCAGATTTCTTATTTTTTAGCGCCGCAGGCAAAAATTTTGAGAATTTTGGAGGCCAGGAAGTCAGAAATCCTTCATTTTTACCATTTTTTTACAAAATCCCAGAAAACTTTAGTAATATTACGAAATAGTAAAAATAGGGCAAAAATATGGCAAATGAAAAAATAGGGAAAAAATAGGGCGAAAAGTTCAAAAATAGGGCAAATGCCCTATAAATAGGGTAAAATGGTCACCCTGCCCAAGACTTTACAAAATTCTCAAAATTTTCGCCTCCGGCGGTGAAAAAGCTAGAAATCTGGCTTAAGCATAATCAAAATTCTCAAAATTTTCGCCTGCGGCGCAAAAAATGGAAGAAATTTGGCTTCTTGGTCTTCCAAAATTCTCAAAATTTTCGCCTCCGGCGGTGAAAAAGCTAGAAATCTGGCTTAAGGATCATTAAAAGTCTCAAAATTTTCGCCTGCGGCGCTGAAAACAGGAGAAAATAGGAGGCTTTAATGGAGATAAAGCGGAGGGATATTAGTATATAGTGGGATTTTATCAAGGTGGGATTTTACCAAGATATCCCTCTTAATCCCCAAATCCCACATGTCTCTTTAATCTCTTCAAATTTGCCTCTCTATATTACCCAAAATCCTATTAAGCAACATAGCTTGTCTTCATACAATTTAGTTCACCAATACCCGAACACCCGAAAATAACCCGGATTTTTCGCCAAACCCGAAACCCGTACCCGAAATTTTTGCCAACCCGAAACCCGATACCCGAAATGAAAATTTTATAACCCGAAACCCGAAACCCGTACCCGATATTTTTGCCAACCCGAAACCCGTGACCCGAAATGAAAACGCTCCAACCCGATACCCGAAACCCGTACCCGAAGATTTTTTGTACCCGCGGCAACCCTGATTGGACGTATAAAAGTTGATTGGACGCATAATAGTTGATTGGACGTATATTGTGTAATAGAGCCAAAATAATTCTTGATTTTTCCTTGACTCAAGCCAAGAATCTGGTCAAGGTACCCAACCGAAAAATACAGCCCAAAAAATACAGCTCAATTTCAACAAATTAAGAATTTCCCGGTTTCCCGGCCGGGACCCGGTCATTTTTGACCGGGTTGAAACCTCGTGGTCAACCTTCAGGGCCCGTAGAATAAATTCGGGGTTGGATAACCCGGTTAAATAACCCGGTTAAACAACCCAGGGGCAAATAACCCTTAGCTACGGGTTAAAATCGGTAGAATAAATTCAACCCCGAGTTAAGGGTTATTTAACACCTAACTAAGGGTTATTTAACTAGTTGAGTTACTGGGTTATTTAACCCTTTATATTTTATTGCCAAACCCATTTCGCATTAATTGTTTAAAAAGAGATTGACCCTTCCTGCCAGGATTCTCACGTGCTTAGGTAAATATTCTATTGGATCTTTAAACCTAGTATTATAGAATATTTTAGACAGTCCCCTCTTTGGGAGTATTTTAAAAAAAATTATTTTTAAAACAAAATTAAAAAATCAGATAATTAAAAAAATAGAAATTAAAAAATTGGAATAGAAATTTAAAATTTTTTTAAAATTTTTCAATTTAATAAATATTTTAATTTTTTAGAAATTATGCATAATGCGCATGCTACCCTGCCCCCTAGTAGGGTTGCAATTTGCCCCTTACCTGCGGGTTATTCAACCCGGGTAATTAATTTATTCTACCGGTAATGTTACGCGGGTCAGATAACCGGGTTATATGACCCGGTCATTTAACCCGAAGCTAGGGGTTTGAATTTATTCTGCGGGTTACGGGTTATTTAACCCCAAGGTAGGGGTTAAATGCCCTTTACCCCGAATTTATTCTACGGGCCCAGAACCCGTTTCCCGGAACCCGGACCCAGTTTTTTCAAAATTCCGATCTCTAGTAAAAATAGTGTAAAAATAGTGTGTTAATTTATCTTTAATAAATTTATTTCCTTGTTTTCTAAATATGGCCAGATAGATTGTTTGATTAAAATTAAATTTAATTTGATGAAAATTGAAATTGAAACGAGTTATCAAAATCGGTCTAAATTAACGTTTTAAGAATAAATCCGAGCCCAGTCTCATCCTTAAATATTATCTGTACTTCCCTTTTTTTGAAATTTATTATCAGAATTTATAAGAGCACAAGTATTAAAATATCTTTTTATAAAACCATATTCAAAATATAAATATGTGTACGTATTTTCTCTATTAGAATGCCATTATCCAGTTGAATGCCAGTCTCTAATATGTAGAATGCCGTCATGGAATGTCAATGAAAAATAAAATGCCATGGCATTCTAATTAGAGAAAATACGGTATATTGTTCTAATTTTTTTCATTTATAATTGTCCTCATTTCCAGAGTTGCGTCGTAATTACGAATTACGAATTACGGCGT